CCTCGGTGTCGTCGCTCTTCCTGTTCTCGGTGCTCCTGTTCGTGGCGGTGCGGCTGTGCAGGAGGAGCAGGGCGGCCTCGGTGGGTCGCTGCTCGGTGCCCGAGGGTCCCTTTCCAGGGCATCTGGTGGACGTGAGCGGCACCGGGACCCTGTCCCAGAGCTACCAGTACGAGGTGTGTCTGGCGGGAGATTCTGGGACCCGCGAGTTCAAGTTCTTGAAGCCAGTTATCCCCCACTCCCAGCCCCAAAGCTGTGGGAAAGAATAGAGGAAACTTCTACTCTCGGGAATAGCTTTGGATTTAATTGTTGAAAGGGACTCATTTAATAAACACATTTACTTCTTTAATATATTCTTCTTGGATAACTACATTGTGTTGCCCACCACCAAAAAGGTGCTTTTTTGTTTGATTCATCTTCAACTTTGCATATGATGCTTAACTTCACGTTAACTTTTTTTAAATTCTGTATCCTGATGACGCATTTCTTACCAGAATCCCATGAGTGAAATAGAATTTTTTTTCAAAGTTGGCACTATTATACTTTTTGCTAGTTGTAAATGTCTTTATTAACTTTTTATTTATTGTGTCTACATTGTTCATTAGTTCTCCTTTTCCTAGAACCTTTTACTTGTTAAAATAATCTGCTGCATGTAATATATGCTTTTACTATATTCCTTCTATTTTGAAACCGGTATTCTTATTGGTTTGCCATCCTTAATGTTCATTGCAACAATTTTCTTAAACTTTACCTTTTTTTAAAAAAATTCTACTTTCCCAGCATTGATAGTTTCCTATTTGAAATATAATGTTTCTGTCATAAGTGATACGATAAACCTCTAATCAGCCCTAGAAGAAAAGCAGCTGTAAGGCATTGAGCTTGTGTAAATGGGCTTCCATTTGGAAACTACCCCTTCCATCAAAAACAGAAAGGGATAAGTTTAGTCATTCTATAGGATCGTGTGAAAATATTTAATTTTCTCCTTTAAATTCTGTATAAATAAATCAGAGGTTCCTGAGGTTCCTGTTAAATTTTTAATGGCCAACAGCCTAGTGCCATTCAGTTGGAAAAACAATAGCAATCACAAAGTAGAGATTTATGTTGTGTGGCTTTTAAATTCAACAATTAGAAGAGTGTGTTGGTAGTGTCAAGCCTTTTCCTCCACAACATTCCTTGATTTAATCTGTTTCCCTTGCTTATGTTAGAAAAATAGAACTTCTTTCTATACATAAGGCCTTGGAATAAGATTCTATGTAAAAAATACATTATAACTCTGTTCTTAATTTTAATAGTGTTCAGATAGGTGTTAGTGTGATCTACTCTTTACCTCCCTTTATTTGGTGCAGAGAAATTAGATTCTGCTAAATTTTGATTAAGAGGGGACCTTAAAATAAGGATCAATCTCTTCTTTAACCCTGTAAGTTACTTTAAACCTAAAACAGAAAAAACAAAGGCAAGTGAAAGTAAGGAAACAAATTGCAAACAGCAAGTGAAAGAACAAAATTTTCCAAATGGTAGGAATTGAACTGAAAAATGTTTCATGTTCTACCCACCTGAGTTTATTTATGCATGTCCTAATGCAGCCAGTATGTACTGCATCTCTGATTTATCACCAGAGATGATTAGGTATCCTATCCTTAAGTAGCCCACATGTCGAAGAAGAAACAGACTGGCATGAAATAAGAAGCAGTAGAATTTACAGGGCAATCATAGTGGCATACACAAGTTTTTCTGAGAGCATAGAGGAGGGACAGTTTAAATGCTTTTCCCAAAATGAATTGGAGAATCTCAACAATGGACCATTTCTCTGTCTCAACGTTAATTTTTACAAGACAAAGGAAAAGAAAAATGAAAAATTTAAATGAGGCTCTAAAGGAAAATTGAATACACACACGCAAATGGGTACAACCATTGAAATCTGGTGGAGGCCACACGGTGGCGCTGCAGCCTAAAGAGACGATTTGGGGAATGAACTGAGGATGCTGTGTAAGTCACAGACCGATGAACTTAAAAGAGAAGCTGTAGCTGCCCAAGATTGGGAAAATAAACGGACAAATAAGACCCCTGTGCTACACGGCGTAGGTGCAGGGTTTCCTACTGCTGTTCTTTTATGCTGGGAGCTGTGGTTGTAACCAACTAGGAAATACGTATTCAGAAGCTATGGCAGTCACTGAGTTGTGCTTTCCAAGACAAAGGCAAGTTCTGTTTCTTTTTGTTTTTTGGGGAGTGTCTTTGGGAGGTTCTGGGTTTGGACGTTATTCGGTGATGGAGGAAGCAGAGAGAGGATCCTTTGTGGTCAATCTGGCAAAGGATCTGGGACTAGCAGAGGGGGAGCTGGCTGCAAGGGGAACCAGGGTGGTTTCCGATGATAACAAACAATACCTGCTCCTGGATTCACAGACTGGGAATTTGCTCACAAATGAGAAACTGGACCGAGAGAAGCTGTGTGGCTCCACAGAGCCCTGTATACTGTATTTCCAAATTTTAATGGATGATCCCTTTCAGATTTACCGGGCTGAGCTGAGAGTTAGGGATATAAATGATCATTCACCAGTATTTCAGGAGAAAGAAACAGTCTTAAAAATATCAGAAAATACAGCTGAAGGGACAGCATTTCGACTAGAAAGAGCACAGGATCCAGATGGAGGACTTAACAGTATCCAAAACTATACGATCAGTCCCAACTCTTTTTTCCGTATTAAAATTAGTGGCAGTGATGAAGGCATGATATATCC